ACTATGCCAATTATCAGCAGTAAGCAAAAATCCGCTCAACATGATATACACTTGGTGGGCTCCATAGCCACCTAATAAACTATACAACGTGCAGGCTCAAACGATGTGAAAAATATGCCATAAAAAGGCGGACTCCGGTGGAAAACGCGAACGAAACGTCAGGGCAATAGTGGACAAAAAAAATGCATTATGCAGGGTTGGCGAAGAGATCCCCCTTGCGGACAGGTATGTGGATGGAATTCTGCATCACCCATTGCGTTGGTCTGGGGATGCCCTTCCATCCACGATCCATCACGGCGGCGGCCTCCAGCATGATGGACAAAGGCACAGATGCCTGGTATCGAGGTCCAATCTCGATATCACGCTTCACAAGCGCCGAGGCAAGGCTGAGTTGCTTCGCGCGCTCTTCCCCGCCTGGCTTATAACCGGACGCAAGATAAGCCACCGGATTGTCGAGATGTTCGTCTGGCACATTGTCCAGAACCGCATCGTCGAAGGGATACACGGACTGACCAAAATCAACACCAACAATGACATTGCCGGCACTAGTGCTCCAAACAGTATCGATCACGTCTCTTTTGTTCCGGGGCACATTCCGTGCAAGCGAGGTCAGAACGGACTGCTTCATCTTGTACGTCACCTGTCTGTGCATGCAAGCATAGCGCCATAGCACGCGACAGATGTTGTAATTTCGGCCTTTGAAAGCAATTAGAAAAAGCATCTCCCATGCTTTTTTGTCCAACTGCGTCTCGGGATGATCCAGACAACGAAACATGTACCGAAGAGCGCACTGGATATCAGAGCGAAACAAGGGCAGGATTGAGTTGACTGTGGCGCTGTCGAGCGCAAAGCCTTGCTGCTCGCATATTTCAAGCAACCTGTCCATTGCGTCGTAGTCTCTCAATCGCACGGTGACACTTAACATCTGATTGATCAGAGTCGGGGAAAACCAGTTGGCCCCGTAGGTATCAATAATCATATTAAAGAAAGCGTCGACATTTTTACCGCTTTGTAGATGCGCCAAGAATGTATCTTGTATCGTTAGATGCAATGCCGTCCGCATCGCACCGGAGTCCGACAAGTAACCCTTCTGCAGCATAAAATTGACAAGACTTGCTTTTGCATTGGGAGAGACGAGACAATCAAGGAAAGCGAGCCAGGTGTAGGGGTTCGGCCGAATGTGCATTCGCGACATGGAGGTGAGGAAACCACGAAAGACCCGGATGTCCTGTCTCTTGGCCGCGGATTTCAGAAGCATATTAAAGGTATCAACTGTCGCGACATGTTCTGCTCTGATAAAAACCGCGCGAGCATCGTCCAAGATTTCATTGTCGAACAGAAATGACAGTGCTCTATTCAATGCCGCAGTCGAAAAATATTCGCGGTTTGCGTCATTTTGGAAAAGAGCGACAAGCGCAGCAGCCACGCGCTCACGGTGATGAGTACCCGGTTTCCCTCTAATGACTTTTGAGGACGGCCGAGACCTGGTCAGTTCCTCTACATGTTCGGCGAACTCTCTGACACTCGATATATTGGCAGACGGGTTGAGAAGTGTGTGTAGTGGCGCAGGTTGCTTGAACGCCTGGTAAAAGTCCCAGACACCTCGGACAAGTGGAACCGGAAGATTCTTGCGTCGCATGGCCTCGATGGAAGGGTAAACCGGGAGGGGGGGTTTCCTTATGTCGACTAGAGGATCACCCTGTTCCTGTAACATCCGTGTCCGCATGATGTGATCCCCGACCAATTCCACACTCCGCTTCGATCCTGACAAAATGACCTTCCTATGCTGCCCTTCGCTCTCGAGGGGGTGCAGCACATGAACACGACACCCGTTGCGAACAGGCACATACCAGACATTCTCCTTCATCGCCATGTCCGTGATGCCCGCCATGAGAGCTACGGTTTCCTCCGGTATAAGGAGCTCCTTCTGCACCGGCCCCTTCTTCGGCCACAGCCGAGACTCCTGTTGCATCTCTTCCAAAAAGTCTCCCACTTTGGTCCACCGACCCCATTTATCTCGTGACCCATGGTCCCTGCCCATCTGCGAGAGATACAGCCTATATCTCAATTTTTTCCGATCCCTAATCGACAAGCTTTCCATGACTCCGATCGCCTTGTCCTTGGCCGGGAAGTTCGTCATTGACGTTTGCGTGTTCGTGAAGATGTTGAATGGCCTCCGGTCCTCTCTTGTAACATTCAGCGACTCTTCGCCCGGAGTTTCCGATCCATGCAGCGATGTTGACGACTCGTGGTCCGCACGGGGGCCCGTTTCGCTCGGTACAGTGTGATGGTTTCCACCTTTATCGCTGGTGCTTTCTATTCCCTGTGGTTGTGTAGGTCCTACACTTCGTGCATGTTCAACATTTTTACGCCCAGGCAGTGAGCCAGCAGGCTGGGCAATGCCGGTCTCGACAGCGGAGTGAGTGGATATCCATCGCCGTGTGAGAATGCCGAAGGACGATTTCCGGCGACGAGACGACGCTCGGAGAAGGGGACGAACGGAGCACAGCGAATCCTCCCCGGAGGGAGTATAATTTATAGACGATATCGATCTCTCTCTTCGCAAAGTCGATGTAAACCAGCGAGGGTAGAGAAAGAGTAAGGGTTCTTCGGGGCCAGCGGCTACGTTGTCCAAGACGGCGGATAGACCACGTCTTCTCAGACACGGATGACCGCGCGAGAACATATGGTAGGACACAGACTGATTCCCAGAGGCATGTGAGGTTGATTCGTCAAGAGAATGCGTCTATGTCGTGTGGCATGCGCACCCTGGTAGAAACTCGACTTGAGGTCAAGCTCGGCCTGGAGTTCAGGAAAATTGTTTGCGGTGCCAGAACGGCAGGCGGTGGGGTTCGGACCGCTCAAGGTTACTCCAGGCGGAGCATCGGACGAATCTCAATTAACGTAATCGGACACCGAGCGAGCCACCCAAATATGATTTCGGCCGCGGTCGAAAGCCATGAGATATTACTACTACGCAATCAAAATGAAGCCATCTCTATATATAAAAGAATCAAATTATCTACTACGGCAGCTAGTTCTAATATGCCCAATTTGATGGCAGTTACTGCATTGTGGTGGTGCACGCTTTTTCTTAGGGATAGGCTCCATCATCTGTATAGCTTCTTGAGCAAGTTGCTGGCCTTCAGCCCCTGTCAGGACCCCTCCAGTAGTAATAAAAGATCTAGGGGCTGCGCGCTTTTGCTTTTGCTTTTCATTTACTGCGCGAAGCTCTGCCATCTGGTGTTGTAATAGAATGACTTCATGCATGGTAGATTCAGCCGCTTTTGCTAGCTGACGAAGTGCTTCATTTGGAAGGCTTTCAGAGTTGCGTTGGATAAGTTGCTTTATATGCTGCATCTGCTTTTGCACCTCAGCAGCAGTATAAGGGGTCTTTGTAATCCATTCCCGCTCCGTAGGTCCAGGTCCATGCGCAGTAGTTGGAGGGGTGATATTCTTAATGGTAAGCTTATCTAGCACCCTTTGTGGATTTAAAGGCACTAAACCAGAAGCTTCAAACCCACTGCGGATATTCTTAGATGATAAGGCCTTTCGTGACTCTTTGTAAAGATCAAGAAAGTTTTCCTTATCAATATGATGAATACCATGTTGGATGCTTCTCATCACCTCTGCACCATATGCTTCCTTTAGGGGTGCAAAGCAGCCAACATCAAGAGGTTGCAGTTTATCAGATGAATGAGAAGGCATATAAAGAGGGATGATTTGATGGTCCTTGCAGAAAGATCAAACTCTGCAGATTCATGGCTAGCA